TTATTAAATACCTATTAAATGTTGTGTTAACGTATCTATTAACTGAATTAAATTCAGTTTTTTTGATGGTGAATTTGGTTTTGGTCGAAGAAAATTAATTTTTACTCTCTGGATCAGAAGTCACCTACAATTAAAATTTTACATCATCCCTTTTTAGGCATCTTGTGGGCATTATTCTTATAAAGTGTACCACCAAATAAATAAACTCAGGCACAGGAATGTTCAAAAAATGTAAAGAAAACAAAAAAAATCTCCAGCGCAGCCCTGTTTCATTTTATCTGCACTGCATGCACTGCAATACTCCATCTGTTCTACTGTATCTGCACTATTCTATCTGATCTACTCTTTCTGCACCACTTTATCTGATCGGAATAGTGGAATAGTTCTGTTCAGAATAGCTCCAGTTCCTTAGCAGTATTCTGTTCTACTGTATCTGCAATGAAATTACCGCGCAACGGCGAGCTTCGTTCTAGGTACCTATCATATATGGCGCCGTATACAAAATGGTTGTGGCGGACTCATAACCTGGCTCTCTGCCACTCGACACCAGCCGGACGGAGCACTCCGAACAGTCGGCACGGAACACGCCTGTCAAGGGATGCCTAAGAGGAGAAACGGAACTTAGCCACAGAACGTCAATGGTCAAGCGTCAAGAAATGACAGGTAGACCAGTTCGCGCTCTTTCGGAATGAACGAACCAACAACAAAATAAAATACACAATTAAAACATTGTCATTCTATTTATTTTTGGACATTTTTACTGTGAAGAACAATTAAAAATAAAGTGCTTTCCTCAAATTGTTTTTGTGCAAAGTGTGTGACAATAAAATCCACATGGTTTGCAATGAAAATGTGACGGTAAACTTGGTATCGGTTATAAGAGATGGCGCCGTATGCGGGCTTAGTGAGTTTTTTTCATAAATAAGTTAAATAGATAAATTTTTTTTTTGTTTTTTTTTTGGATTTTTTCGATTTATTATCCTAGGATGGACAAAGACAAATCCAATAAAGCAAAAATCATAAAAATCAGTCCAGCCGTTCTCGAATTATAAGTGCTCAAATACCAACACAACTGTGTTTTATATATATAGATACAGGGATGGAAAGAAATTCAGTAATTTTCAGAGTTTTTTGAGACACCCTGTGGAGTGAACCACTGAAAATTCAGAACAGTTTTCAACACCAAATTGTAGCCTGATCTTTTCTGAACATTTTCATTTTTTATTCACTCTGATATTGTCAATATTATTCAAAATATAGAGTTTTGAAGAAAAGGTCGATATTGACCATAATTTTCCCCACGTCGACATACGATTTAGATATGAAAATGTGTCGTTTACCAACTTCAAGTCGTGTGTGTGAATGTTTACTTCAAGTTAAATATTGCTCGCAGTTTTACCTCTTACGGATCAATGTATTGTGAAAAGAATGCTCACAAATATACAGGGGGATCAGAAAGTCCCTTTCATGATTTCCATTTGGTGAAATGGTATTTATCTAAACTAAACTCTCCCTTCACACTTAACCAATGCTTAGGACTTCTTTAATTTACCCCTCTCAACATACCTTGCCACCGGTAGGATATTGACAAATTTAATCTTATTTGAACAGGGAAAATTACGTTTACGAATACAATTTTGTTTCTGTCGTTGGTTATTGTCAAGTGAAAGTCAAGCGAAAGTCAACACTCTTATTTAATTTTAATTGGTAAAAATCCAACATGCGTGATATGACTCCTACTGATTTGGCGAGGGCTGTACCGTTGATTGAAAATGGTAGGTCTTACACTGATGTTGCTGACATGATAGGAGAATCAAAATCCACGATCTATCGTAATGTAAGACGTTGGAGGCACACAGGAGAGTATGCGAGGAGACGAGGCCAAGGTAGAAAACGGTCAACCACAGCCAGAGACGACAGATTTATTGTTTTGCAAACATTAACAGGCGTAGAACAGTACCGCAAATGAAAAACGATCTGGAAGAAGTACGTGGAAGGAGGACAAGTTATCAAACCATCAGCAGAAGGCTCAAAGAAATTGGTTTGAAGGCCTATAGATCAAACTCCAACAACTTCATCGAGTGGTGAGACTACGCTTCGCTAGATAGCATGAAAATTGGGACTATGACCATTGCACCAACGTTCTTTATACAGATGAGAGCCGCTTCTGCATTAATTCGATCGATGGCAGGAAAAGATTATATCGCCGCCGAGGAGAACAAAATGGACAATTCAATACACTGCTACTGTCTTCTATAGTAGAGATTCAGTATTGGTCTGGGGTGGGATATGTTTAGGGGCACGAACAGAATTGGTGGTTGTTAATGGCGCTTTGAATGCAGACGGATACATACGAGATGTTCTGCAACAGCATACCATTCGCCCCCCATATCGTAGAAAACTTCGTCTAATGCACGACAATGCTCGCCCTCACGTGGCGCGCCGCGTCTCCGACTTTTTGAATTCCGCATAAGAGCAATGGATTGGCCTGCATGTTCTCCAGATCTTAATCCGATCGAACCTGTCTGGGACATGGGACGATTAGGGTCCAGAATTCCTGCAGTTCAAAATCGCGAACAACCAGCAGCTGCTCTGATTGAGGTCTGGGACAATCTGCCCCAAGAGATGATTGATGACGTCATCAGAAGCATGAGGAGACGAATGACTGCTGTCATATGGGCGCGTGGAGGCTACACGCGTTATTGAAAGATACATTTCTTCTGGTCCGCTATTTTGAATCGTTATTGTTTGTTAAGTTATTGTTATTGTGATTTCTTTTGCCATGTTCCCAAGTCTACAAATTAAAAAAAAAAAACTTCAACTTGATCCTTTTTTTGAGTTGCTGTTAAGGTGAAAATTCGTGATTTTACTTGAACAAATAATAATAATAAATTCTTCAATATCCTACTGATGTCTGTTGAGGGGTAAATTGAAAAAGCCCTAAGTCTGGGTTAAGTGTGAAGGGAGAGTTTAGAGAGTTTAGTTTAGATAAATAACATTCCACCAAATGGAAATCATGAAAGGGACTTCCTGATCCCCTTGTATATTTTTGAGCATTCTTTTCACAATAAATTGATCGGTAAGAGGTAAAACTGCGAGCAATATTTAACTTGAAGTAAACATTCACACACACGACTTGAAGTTGGAAAACGACACATTTTCATATCCAATTCGTATGTCGTCGTGGAGAAAATTTAGGTCAATATCCAACTTTTCTTCGAAACTCTGTATTTTCAATAATATTGAAAATAACAGAGTGAATAAAAAATGAAAATGTTCAGAAAACATCAGGCTACAATTTGGTGTTGAAAACTATTCTGAATTTCCAGTGGCTCACTCCACAGGGTGTCTCAAAAAACTCTGAAAATTACTGACTTTCTTTCCATCCCTGTATATGATATAAAGACGAATGATTTAATAACGGTAATACGTCAGATGTATTCCTGAAGAATCAAGCTACAATCTGTGAAAAATTCATCGAAATCGAGCAGAGGGTTCAAGAGGAAATTGATGTCAAACTTAGTGTTGATTTTGTGCGTTCCCCTAATTTTGCGGGTGTGTGTATATCATAGGGTGGAGTGGAGACAGCTTACTTGGACACAATATATGTATATCAAATATTCTAATCCAACAGCCAAAGTTTTGATATCAGTAATCCTTAGGAACTCCATAGCTAAATACCGATAATCTGTACCTGAGAATGCCATTACTCTGTGTCGAATTGTTGGCTCTTCGATTAGAATACTTAAACCTCTATTCATGGATAAAAAATAAGGATTCTTGAGATTCAAATACTCTTATCAAAGAAATGCAAATTGTTTTTCTTACCAGCTCTTGAAAATAATTATTACTCGAACGTCTGCACATCTCAAAACCAAAACTGCTGATAAGTTTTAATCGCAAAGTGTTAACAAAAAGCATTCAAGTCTTTAAGCGCGTCTCCACCAAAGGAAAATTGGCAACTTTTGTGTTACCAACACGTGTTGGTGACAAAAGTTTCTAAAATTTTCCCATGTTGTTAACCAAAATTGTAAGTGAATGTCAAGAACCGTGTTTCCATTTTTGGCGGTAAACATCAAAGGGATACGCGTTTTGCCAACATTTAATAGGTGTGGACAACCATGAAAACAAGAGTTGGTGACTTTCGGAAGAGTTGCCAACTTTTCAGTGGAAACGCGCCTTTAGAGCAAGTACTTTTGTTCCTGGTTACTGTAACCCTCTGGTAAATTAATCAGGGTTCTGAATGTGCGAGCCAGGCTCAAGGACATACACACTGCGGCATATATTTGAAACACTGATTAGCAAAAGTACAGGCACTTATTGAACTTAAATCTATCTACATAAATCGCCTCATGGGACGTGGAAACGGGCCCTAAGTTTGCCTGTTACTGAAATATCTTTTAATCATCAATTATAGCAACCAATGTTTGTTTTCTAGGAATATTTGGAACGAATAGTTCGATGGAGATTGGAACGAGGGGTGGCTGACCAAACAGAATCTCTAGTGCGAGGTTTTTACGAAGTAGTAGACCCACGATTGGTGAGCGTATTCGACGCAAGAGAACTGGAATTAGTAATAGCAGGAACAGCCGAGATTGATTTGACAGATTGGAGAAATAACACAGAGTATAGAGGAGGTTACCACGATCAGCATCCTGTGGTTTCTTGGTTTTGGCAAGCAATAGGAAGGTAAGAATGTTTGGGATAGATACATAGATATAGACCAAGAATTTTTGTGGGGAGACAAGGCCTCGAAATTTGTTTACTTGAATCCAATTTTTTCAATAACTTCTCCGCTCATGTAGATATTGTCTTCAACTTTGGCACACTTGCCACTAACGATCCTATGTATTTTTGTTCCAAGTTTGAAATAAATTTCTGAAGGCCATAAAGCATAATGCTTTGGATAAAAACTTTTTTGCTTAATTTTAATCACATGCAACTATTATTTCTAAACCAACTTCAAATTTCTAATTCGGGAAACTCATCTTCTTTTCCAGATTCACCAACGAACAGCGACTACGCCTTCTCCAATTCGTAACGGGTACCTCCAGTATACCTTTCGAAGGCTTTGCTGCGCTTAGGGGCTCAATAGGTTCCAGAAAATTCTGTATAGAAAAATGGGGTAAACCCAACAGTCTTCCTAGGGCTCACACCTGCTTCAATCGTTTAGATTTACCGCCTTATCCCACGTTTGAGGTGTTATACGAAAAATTATTGTTGGCCGTTGAGGAGACTAATACATTTGGCATTGAATAGACCACAAGCGGACGTTGAGTTGGTTGATTCTGGAGTTTTTTAAATTATGAATATTGAATGAATAAATCCTATGCGTTTTTGCCATCTAGTGTTTACAGTATCACAGTGCCAGTTTCGCTTTTCAATTTTCACTTTAAAACGTAAGTGTCAACGCTTATATCTTTGTAAATTATTCTTGCTTTTAAATTACTAAGTGCCAAAAAATCTTAAGATTAAATAATTCTTTCAGAATCAACTATCAACGTTTTTATTTTTGAAAATTCTAGTACTTAACCTGTAGTATTATTCCTAGAGGTCATGATTATAATATTTTCTCTGTTGAAAATAATGTATTTTTGTATAATTTCCAAATAAGTTTAATATTTAAATTATTTGGATATTGTTTGTATTGTTCCTGTTTTTGATTTGTTTCATTGTGTAGGTAAGAGAAAAAAGCCAGTATTTGTTGGATTTTTTGATTTTAATTGTCAATTACTGAGTCTTGAGTGGATCAAGATAGAAAAAAACACCAAATTTTGTACTTTAATGACTTATTATCAAAGGGTGTCTCACAAAAATTGAAAAATTGAAATGCCTAATCAATTTTCAGGTGAAGAATAAGAACATCTTTAACATTAAGTAGACATCATAAATGATGTCTATAGCCAATAAACCTTGGCGGGTTTTTTTTTAACACAAATAGGTTAGGTATAGTACTGAATTAGAAGAAATGTCAGCAGGATGTAAGACACCCTTTGCCCATTACCAAAAAAAAACATATAATATTAATTGTGTATCCTATGTGTAGCCATTAAAATTGTATATAAATAAACATACCTAATATTATTTATTATTGAAACAGGGTTGTACAAAAAGTAACTTAGGCCTTTGAATTTAATGTTTTCCAACAATCAAATCCCTCTGGAATTATACGTCCTTATCCAAAAGTTAAATTTTTGATAAAATTTCGATAATAAAATGAAGGTTTAAGATTCAACTGTACAATTTATAATTTCTTTTCTGAAATATTATTATTGGAGGCATGCGAGATATTTGTTCTCTGTTGTTAAATTTGAAATTTCAATCATATTTTATTAATATTATTATTAACTATTTATTGGGTAAAATTAAAAACTATTGATCTTAAAATAATTATTGATAATGTTCTTGTTTTTTAATGATAGTTAAGCGCCATGTAAAAAAACTTTATTGTTTTCTAACAATTCGATAAAGTCCAAAAAGCTCTTTTGTAAAGTAGTTACCAAAAAAAAAACCTATAGCCTATGTAAACTTTTGTCCATTTTTTTTAATAATTATCTAGAGAAAAGGAAAAATGTGATCAAGTAATTCTAGTCAGTATCAGTAATTAATATTACGTGAATTTCTAAAATTTATAATTTTAATAGATAATGGTATTCTTCTAACCTTCAATTCAGATGCAGTTTCAACAGCAATTTTGGTCTTTAAATTTTAACTTTCATGCTTGTGTTTTTTATAAGATCTGTAACATTCCAGAAATAAATGTTGTTTAAAAATGTAAAAATTTGTTTTTTGTTATTATTTATTCAATAAACTTTCCTTAAAAATTAACATAATTATTTAAAAATAAATAATTCACATAGCGAAATTAAACATGCCTAAATTTTGACTAAAATCCAAATTTTCGGCTATTTCTTGACTGCAAAAACATAGCCCCCAACAACAGCTGCGATTGTCAAACCTTGAGCGACCACTCTGGTCCTCATCATGTACTGGGACATTCGTTTCTCGCCTTTTTTTAAACTCCACAGGCCATAGAATAATGCACCACAAGTGGCTACAGCACCTACAAAAAAGAGATTTTGAATACTGCAGGCCCCTCATTGATATCTGCAATGACCCCTGCGTCACTGATTGAATCGCCTCGTTATTTGGTGTTTCATTTACATACTTATAGGTATCTACTTGATTTCAAGACGTTTCTAATTTCTCCAAAATGTGTAAATAGATTTCAAATCTTGGATGGAGTCAATGAAATTTTTAGGACTTTTGAAATTTTTTGGGAATTTTATAAAACCTCAAAATATTTGTAAAAAATCCAGAAGATTTTATACAATAAAAGAGATTTTATGAACTCCCAATAAATGTTTATATCAAGCGAATAGAAGAGATCTTTAAGGTGGGTGCAATTAGCCTCAAATTAGGGAGGAGTGCTATCTGCCCCAAAACAAGTTTTACCTATCAAATAAACCATTACTGGAACTATGATTTATAAGGTGGGCAGAGCATACCTATATTATGATTATTATGAATTATGATTAGGGCTGGGCGATTATCAAAATAAATAATCGATTATCGATTATTAAAAATAATCGATTATTTTCGATTAATCGATTATTTTCGATTAATCGATTAATCGAAAATAATCGATTAATCGAAAATAATCGATTAATCGGAAATAATCGATTAATCGGAAATAATCGATTAATCGGAAATAATCGATTAATCGAAAATAATCGATTAATCGAAAATAATCGATTAATCGAAAATAATCGATTAATCGAAAATAATCGATTAATCGAAAATAATCGATTAATCGAAAATAATCGATTAATCGATAATTTTTTTTGATAAATCGTTTTTTTTTTTCGATCTATCGATTATTTTTGATTATTCGATTATTTTTGATTATTCGCTTATTTCACAATAATCGGTAGATTTTTTTCTTGGGTTTCATGAAGTAAAAGAAATTCACTTGCCCTTAACCGGCTTGTTTTGAAATAAACTCTCTGGTTACTTTGGAGTTTGAGGCCCGGTTTATTCATCTTCAGATAGACTTGCTGGTTGACAACTATTAGCAAGATCAATTTACCCTTCTATAATTATTGTCTCGGTCGACCAAGGGCCGACCAATAACTGGCCGACCAATGGGATTACAGATTGCGTTATTATCCGCGAAATTGCATACCTAACAGTTTATCAGAAGGTGAATAAACCGGCCCTTAGATATACAAAGAAAAACAAAACATAAAATTATCTCAAAAATAATAGATTAATCGTAAATAATTGATCAATCGAAAATAACCGTATAATCGAAAATAATCGATTAATCGAAAATAATCGAATAATCGAAAATAATCGATTAATCGAATAATCTAAAATAATCGATTATCGAAAATAATCGATTAATCGAAAATAATCGATTAATCGAAAATAATCGATTAATCGAAAATAATCGATTAATCGAAAATAATCGATTAATCGAAAATAATCGTTTAATCGAAAATAATCGATTAATCGAAAATAATCGATTAATCGATTATTTGAAAATAAAATAATCGACTAATCGATTAATCGATTATTAATCGATTAATCGATTATTTTGCCCACCCCTAATTATGATATAACTAATAGAAAAAAATGACGTAGAATTTAAATTTAAAACATATTTCTCCATAAAAAAGACTCGTAAGGCATTTTGAATTATCTCCTCGAGATTTTGGATGGAAAACTACTACAGTCTTTTGGCAGCGACTTGATGGAATGTTGTAAAATAAAAAATAATTTCTTGGAATGGTTTCGCAATCGGTGGGGGATGAAGGGTTGAAAATATCAGAAAATTAAGGTTTTTATCCTTTTACTCAATACCAACTTTGGATGGGGTAGCTTTTACCAGGAAATTAACAAAGTATTCTTAAATACTCCATTACATTAGTTTCCAAGTCGGTAGAGGATTAAGAGTTGATCCTAAAATCCTCACTCTGAGGTTCAAATTTTGTGAAATCTCTCACAAAAACTTGAAGAAAACTTCAACTTGCACGATAAGAAATTTAACGAAATTAAATATGTGAGTGATAATATTCAATTTTCGAGTCAAAACACATCTTAAATTGTGTAAGAAATTGTGATTACAAGAAGAATCACAATGACAATAGCTGTTTGTAATTAAGATTATGTAATAACGCAAAGTGATACTTTGTCAATCAATGAGAAAATTAATTAATTTTTACAGATTGTATGTGATTTATAAAATATTTCGTGATATTTTACAAGAGTCAGGAAATTTTCTAAATATTTTTCGGGATTTAAAAAAAAAAAATCGAAAGTACTATTTAGATTACTGATTTTATGCAATTTCATGAGATCCAAAGAAATTTGTACATGGATTTTGAGAGGCGATTTTATACATAAGAGATGATGTTAAAATTTTAAAATCACAACAGACATTTAAACATAAAAATTATTGGTTGGTTTACACATACATCTTTTACAATAAGAAAAAATATCTTTTGGTATCTCTGTACAGATCTCCAAGTTCATCTAAACGGGATTTTGAGCTTTTTTTTCAAGCATGGTGCGAAGAAAATTTGATTGATGAAAATTGTGTCATTTTAGTTGTAGGCGACTTTAACATCGATTACAGAACGGATGAGTCAAAAGCTTTAAAAGAAATTCTTGTAGATATAGGTCTTAAAAATATTGTTTTTGCTACAACTCGCTCTGGTAGAGATAAAGACTCAATCATAGATTTGGTGCTAACGAACTCTGATAAGTTGTTTAAAGCTAATGTTATTATTACCCCAAAAATTACTGATCATTACATGATTGAAATATTACACAATGTGAGTCCTAAAGTGGCTAAGACTGTTGATACTAGAGGTGGCAATATTGATTTTTTGAGTATCAACCAAATGTTGCGCAATTGTGAGTTCAGGTACTATCATTCTGACATAAATCATAAGTTTAGCAGTTTTGTGTCAACTGTTCTGGAAATTTTAAATTTAGTTGCTCCAATAAAAACCGTAAAAATTTTTCCTAAATATAAAAAATGGTGGAACAATAGGGTTGAGATGGCGATGCGAGAACGTGATTTTAGTTATAGGACTTATAAAAATAATAAAACAGATGAAAACTTAAATGAATATAAGCAAAAAAGAAATTTTGCAGTTCAAGTGTTTAGAGAAGAGAAACGTAAGTTCTATGAAGAAAAAATATGTCAAAATAAAAATAATCCCACAGAAATGTGGAAAACTTTGGAAACTTTATTACCTTCAAAAAGAACAGTGGCTAAAATTGATGAGGTAGAAATAAATAATACCTTAATTAGTGATAAAGAGGAGTTACCTAATAAACTGAATATTTTTTTTGTTGATAGTATTAAAGATATACTTCGGGATATAGATAAGTCTGATCTTGGAGATTTTCCATTGGCTCACCATGACGATTTGGTTAATTTTTCAGATTTTAGTATGTTGGATTTTGAAGGGTTGAAAGATATTATTTTTGGAATGGCTAATAAATCAAGTCCAGATGATATTAACATCAATTTACTCAAAAATACTTTTGAGATTATAAAGAATCCACTTTTAAATTTAGTTAATTCTTCGCTAGAATTAGGTCAGGTTCCTGATATGTTAAAAGTTTCCACTATAATCCCGATCCCCAAAGTAATTAAATTAAAATCTGCCAATGAATTGCGTCCAATAAATTTGCTTTGCACTATTGACAAAATTTTGGAAAAAATGGTGTATATGCAACTTGTTGAGTATATAGATCGGAATAAAATACTAAGTGATTTTCAATCAGGATTTCGAGTAAAATTTAGTTGCGAAACTGCTGTGCAGGGTATCTTGGAAGACTGGAGGCAAAATATTGACAAAAACTTAGCAACTGGTGCCATTTTTCTTGACTTACGAAGGGCATTTGAAACTGTAAACAGGACAAGGTTAATATTAAAGCTAAAAAGCATTGGTATTAGGGGAGTAGTTTTAAAATGGTTTGTGAGCTACTTGAGTGACCGTAAACAAAGACTAAAAGTCAATGACATATTATCAGAAGATATATCTAATGATTTTGGCGTCCCTCAGGGGAGCGTGCTGGGGCCTTTGCTATTTATTATATATATTAATGACATAATTAAAAACGTAAAAAATTGTACCACATATCTTTTTGCTGACGATGCCTTATTCTATTATTCCACAAAAGATCTGGGCCAACTTGAGACATCACTTAATCAAATATTGGATGATGTGTATCAGTGGTGTAATGTTAATGATTTGAAGGTCAATATTTCTAAAACAAAGTACATGATTATTGCAAGGGAATCCATTTACAAACAGCTATTGGCTATGGACTGCAAATTATTGTTGGGCAGCGACACTATTGAAATGGTAACAAAAATTAAATACTTAGGAATTTGGATTGACCATAAACTAGATTTTAAAAGTCATGCATTAGAAATAATTAAAAAAATCGCTTTTAAAGTAAATTATTTATCTCGCTGCTCTCCATACTTGTCTACTTGGACTAAAAAAACTATATTTAATGTATTAATACTTCCACATTTCCATTATTGTTCTAGTATTTTGTTTCTCTTCAGACAAAATGAGCTCTCAAGATTGCAGAAATTGCAAAACAGAAGTATGAGGGTGATACTCAAAAAACCAAGGTTAACACCAATAAAGGATATGTTAAAAGAACTTCAATGGCTGCCAGTGCGGGAGCTTCTTCTGTTTAACACCCTAACATTCATTCATAAAATAAAAATTGGTCAAGCTCCGCAATATTTGTTAGGCAAAATTATGTATGCTTCTGAAGTGCATCAATATCATACGCGCCACAGAGAAAATTTTTATATCCCAAGGGTAGATCAGGAAAGGTCGCAAAACTCATTATATTTTAAGGGCTTGAGTAGGTATAATGATCTGCCAAATAATGTTAAGTCTATGAAAACAGTGAATTCTTTTAAAAAAGTTCTCAAAGATTATATGCTAAGTGATGTTAACTTATAAGTAAGTAGTATGTGTAACTTGTATTGTATCAGTGTACGTTTTTTTTTAAATAATTTTTTATCATTGTGTTATTGACTGTAGATTTTAAATTGTTTTTTAATTAAATTATAAATTAGCTTTAGTGGAATTTCAATTGATAACTGTAACTGTATAACTGTAAATTAGTCTTGACTAAATAAAAGGATTTATATTTATATATATATATATGGAAGTAAACTGCCCCTTACTTAATCCTCATTGTAGAAAGATTTTTGGGGGACACTCAGGTCAGAAAAACAAAAAAAAAATAGCTGAATTTTTTTCTTACATTTTGGACTTAATTTAGCATTCCATCATCAAGAAAAATCAAAGTCACAAAAGTGTAGGTTTAAAATAACATTTTGTAGGTAGTTTTGAACCATGTAGAGTCCGCGTCAAGAGTAAAGACTACGGTGACGTGAAATGCGCACAAACCCAATTTTGAAGACTAACCGAACTATAGTATTTTTCGGTGCTGCTGCCGAATGCCAAGCACGTAGTTCATTGTCGTGCGGCCAGCAGGCATATTTATTTAGTTTATTTTCTATCCAAGTTTTGTCTAAAAAGATACCCCGCTGCTGGTTTCAGCTCACGGCCGAGGTCACGTCAGACAGTGAGAGATAGACGAGGGAGAGAGATCCGACCCGCTTCGCGCAGCTTTCCATGTCGTCACCGTACTCTTTACTGCTGACGCGGACTCTAGGCATTTAGGTAAAAGCTCGGGTAAAAAATAGAGAACAATTAGCAAAAAAAAAATTAAAATTTTATTTACAACAAAAATACAAAATGAATTCTAAAAAAACATTCTAGTAACAATGGTTTATTCTGCGTCAGTAGTAGTAACTACAACTAGCTTTTTTTTTATAAAATACTTAAAAACACACATCAAATTTGATTCGGTTTGTAATATTTATTTGTAGTTGTTCTTTGCCTATTATGCAATACCTCGCATGATACATTTCACAGTTTCAATAAGGGTGATCATTTCTGCAGTTTTTGAATCAAGCTGTTATTGATTGTGAATAGTACTGTCAGAGTTTACTAGGTACTTACCTACTGCAAAGAGGTACTTATATCAGTTGCTTTTTATGGAAAACTCTCCCACGAACATAGAAAATGGATCTCTTCAGAGCAGGCTGTTGGAAATTACACTTGAAGGAAGGTTTTTAAATGCAGAGATCTGGGATTGACTTGTAGCAAAACTGAGAAACGATATCGACTGAAAAAGTTGCAGAATGGTGTTCTAGTTAGGAAGCTGTCAAAACTAGAATAGTGTTAAGTATAGTACCTATAGAGGTTGTCTGACTTTAACTAGCAGGATGGAGAGATGAAAAAAAGTATCTCAACCCCGGGATTCAGCAGGGATAGAATGGTGGCTCATGTACAGCAGAGGATAATGAGGTGTGTCAGGTGTGTGTGATGATGCACAGCCTCATAAAGTAGAAGATTCTGGTGTTTTTTAAGATCGCTTACCGATGGGAACAAACGGATTTTCTTTAGATTTCCTCATGAATTTGTCCAGGGTAGATTCGAGCGGTATTTTTTCATTCATTTCCTTGTGAAGGTCGAGCCAATCGAATTTTGCTAAATCCTCATCTGTGAGTTCTATAGAAGTTCCATCCATGGTCATGCTTTCGTTTCGAGTACTCGGTGAAGTGGTACAAATAATAAAATTTGAGATGCACAGTTCGCGGTTAAATTAGTTGGAAAATCAAAATGAAAATTGCACTCTTCAAATCAGTCCATAGATAATCAGTCTATCAAGTTAGAACATAGAACAGCATAACCAAAACAAAAACAAACCATAACCTTACTCTTCAATTTTTACTACAAGAGCAAACCGCTAGCTGTCAAAAAATTCCGGTAAGGTAAAAGTTAAGTTCTTTTCACGTGGCTCCGGTTTAACTAACCGGGTTACAAAACGGTTAGAGAAATGACATACCGTTTTCTAACCCGGTTACAAAGTAACGTGATGGATACCTACCACTCGAATTTGAGCGGTATGTTGCGGTTTGTTAAACCGGAGCCACGTGAAAAGGGTTTTCTAGGTGTCTGGTTAGATTTTTCTGCCCCCGGATTCTATTTTACGAGTCGAGTCAAATTGTCTCGATATCGAATACGACAGCTCCGGACTTACCGTGTAAAAGGTATTGATAAATCGGAAAACAGAATTGCTATTTTGACAATTCGATACGAATTCGACTCGATTCGTAAAATAGAATCCGGCAGCTGATTCATTTTGGAACGCTTTAGTCCTTTTCACGTGGTCCGGTTTAAACTAACCGGGTTACAAAACGGTTAGTAGCGGTATGTCAAGTATGACATACCGTTTTCTAACCCGGTTACAAAAGTGAAGTGATCGATACCACTCGAATTTGAGCGGTATGTTGCGGTTTGTTAAACCGGAGCCACGTGAAAAGGGTTTTTGGTGTATTAAAGTTTTGGTTGTGTTGTTTGTTGTGTGGTGCACCCACACCACAAAACAGAAAGGTGGTGTGGTGTGCATTTTTATTATTATTTTAAACAGTAAACAAACGGTGGTTTGGTTTTCAGTACGATTTTTGTAGATTATTTGAGTTGAGATGAGTGTTTGGTTTGTTCATAATGAATAAAGATGAAATAGCTCACGCACACGCACAAAGATTTTTTTCATTCTATAAAACCGACAAAAATTCCCGGTGGATTCGATTCGGTGCTTCACCGGTGTCAGACTGATCATTCCTGTCAATTTTGGAACAAACGATCGTGTTTAACCGGTAAAAAGTCGGTACATTTTGGAACGGGTTGATGAGTAAACTAATAAACCGGTATCGCGCTGGTTCAGAAAACAGTGAATTTTGGAAAGTGCCCAAAACATGTACTCGTCGCTTCGCTACTCTCTAGTTTCGTTTCAAAGTATAAGTATTTTTTTTTCGATTTTGGCTGTGCTAATTTGATTTATTATTTGCAATTTGCATGAGTTTATGAATAATTTATTTTAAATAAATTACATAAATTATACTTTAATTGTTGTCCTGAACCATCAAATAACTTTTGAGATCATTTAAAAGAGGAAGCCGCAGTTTTGGTTTAAAAAAAAGGAAAATCTTGCTGAAAAATACCGTGCAGAGATTCAGAATGTTCCACAGGCCTCTATCTAAACAAAATCGTACCAAAACTTATCCTTACCATTCTCTAAAAATAAACAGTTCACATTTCACAGTAATCGAATGGCTGCAACGGTGCTTCCTTGCTCTGACAGAAAAAAATTAACAACTCTCTAGTCTTTACTACAGTGACTTAAGCCGCTTTCCAGCTGTGTGCTTCAAGCACGGTGCAGCACAGTGCTCTGTGTTTGAAACGCAAAAGTTAGCAGCTCTCGAAGCGCAGTACGGCTGGAACACGAATACGCGCTTGAAGCATTTGCGCGCGCAAAAGCTCGATTGCGTGCTCAAACCGTGCGTTCGTTATTTTGGTCTGAGTTCTCCGAGCTTGACTTTACCGTTCGTTTATTCAAAAAGTGTACTCGGTGTATCCTCATTCGCGTTCGTTTATTAAAATTTCTGGTACTTTTATACAGCGTTCAACTGCTCTGTTCGCTCGCTGGTCACGTGATTACGGCTCCGCTCTGCACGCTCTGCTCTTCGAGCAAAATACCGAACGCAAGGAAAAGCGTCAGCTGGAAAGCGGCTTATCTCTACTAGCTAGGGTTTCGTAGAATGACACATGACACTTAGGACTCAGGAGGCAAATGACGCTTAAGGGCGGGTATTATAAACCTATTTTGACAGACCAACTAAAAGTTAACTTCTATAATGATGTTACTACTTCTCATAGTTCCAGAAGTTAACTTTGAGTTATCTTTCAAAATAGTTTTATACCTGCCCTTATCAATGGTTTATCTGTCACGATGACCGATCGGTCAATCGCCTAAAATTGGTTCTTGCCAATTGCCAGGTTTATATATTTATAGTTTGCATTTGTCAATCTTCTAAAACCGAAATGTCCGAAATACTATACGCAACCCTTTTTGAATTAAAGTAAACTTGAAAAAATTCCATGTTCCATTTTAGTTTGGTTTCATAATGTAGCAATGTAGCTTTTTTTTTTGGAGGCCTATCCTCATAAGGGCTGTGTGTAACAAATCCCCCCCTTTCCCCACACGCCAAAATAGCAGTTGTGACGTAGGCAGCATGTTATTTCTCGCCTTGACGTAGGCTGCTTAAACAGCTGTCGACTTAGTTATGACGTCGGAAATGGTAGGTCTGTTTCTGCAGAAATCACAAACCAGTCAGAGTGAATTTCATTGGTCGAAACTAGTTTTCTGACTGTTTTCAACCAATGAAATTCGCTCTGACTGGTTTGTGATTTGTGCAGAAACAGACCTTATCACACCAATATGGCGGGATGACCAAAAACGAGGCCGATAAGCACTCTACTACAGAGTGTATATTCTCCTTGGGCATTTCATACTGATATAAGCATTAAATGTGATACTCTGTTGTACTGAGTTATGCTATCAAACTGAATACTGAAAGCCGTACAAGTATTGTACTTACCAGTGATCCGGTTAATCGGATCACCCTTGAATCGGATCAGCATTTCCAAAAAGGCCTTTAAACGACAACAGGTCTGTTCCCGCAGAAATCACCAACCAGTCAGAGTAAATGTCATTGGCTGAAGCAGGGGCCGGATTATGAACATCCAATACGTAAAAATTTCTGAGTCGAAGGCAAACTTGAAGCGTATACGCATCGTATCGAACGAAAAATTGATTACGAATATACTTCGCTTAAAGCCTACTACACTCATAACTGCGAAATTCGCACTTTTTTGACATTGCTTCGACAATTTGACGTTTGATTTACGCATAAAACGTCAATTTCTCGAAGCAATGTCGAAAAAGTGCGAATTTCGCAGTTATGAGTACTAGGCTTCACTCGTAGAAAGACAATAGGTTTGTTCCAACCGGCAGTAATTTCCAGTAATATTACTGGCACACATGCGCAATTGTGAAATGCTGTTCCAACCAGTTGAAATTACTAATTTAGAATTAGCGATAAGTGACAGTGCGTCGTTCCAACCGGAGTTACGGATAGTAAAATTACGGTTCAAACGATTCTTGCTTGAAAGGAAGAACTGTTGGTTCTAAAATTAGACGCATGCGTAGTGAGGTCGAAAACGGGTCAGTGGTTGAACAACAACGAACATAAATAATAATACATAACCCAGAACCTCAGTTTTTTGTTTATTTAAATTATTTATTTGAAAATGACTGCTATAGAAGTTAAGTAATTTTATTTTATTTATTCTCAGAGTTAATAAATCTGATTTTTGTCTTATAATAGGTTTAGAAGAATTCCTTATTGTGGTGGAAGATGATTCACCTGCAAGTATGCAAGTTATGTTGATTTTGTTATTTTCATCTTGTGTTGTGAGTACTACTAGTTCAAAAAACGTTCCAACAAGTTTTTAAGTTATTTAGTATAATATTACTGTTTTTGATTGCGCAGTCGCATTAGCGCGGTTACGGACGATAATATTACAGTAATATTATTGCAGGTTGGAACAAACCTAATGGGATAGTCGGGACGATAGGTTGCGACTAGAGGATGAGAATCCCCCACCTGCGGGTCAATTCTTGAAAATTCTCGCATACGTAAGTTGATTCGAATTCGAATGACAGCAACGTAAATTGAATAGGAAACATTCGAATTCATATCAATTTTCGTATGCGAGATAATTCAAGAATTGGGGGCCAGGGGCCCAATTCTCGAATTACGACTAAAAATCTCGCAATCGACAAATCACGCATCTGAATGTCGAAAGCGAATCCTAAACTCTATTCTCGGTCGGTATACGAATTTAAATGACGCATTTGACAATTGTCGAATGTTTAAACATGGCAACATCTAAATTTTATAGTATTAGCATTTTTTTTTGACAACTAAAGAGTCAGAATTTTTGATCATTCAAATAAAAGTGGAGTTTTTGGTGAAAAATTAAATGTTCTAGGTCCTATTCCGTGCGATTACTATCACGATTTGTGGTAAAGTAGTGGAAAAAAGAAGAATATACGAAGTTCTTTAAAAAGTGAACATGCTTACTGTCTGTAATATCGACTGTAGCCAAGTCCCGTGTTAATCCTTTAGTTAATCGAGTTTTTCACAAAAAGGCACTCAAACATACAATTCAACGCATTTCTGTACACTTGGCCAAACATAAAACTGGTACATGCATTTTCCTAAGTGTTGTATTGTGTAAATCGACATTTATTATCACTTCGAAAATTACGAAGAGAGTCAAGTCAGTGTCATCTTTAAATCAAATAAAATGCCGCCGCAAATACATTCGACAATGTCGAATGTCAAAAACTGTCTAAAAAATACCTATCGCCTGTACCACTTTTATGTTTGGCCAAGTGTCCTCACAGAATCTCCTAGGAAATCTATTATTTTCTACTTAAATCGCAAGATTTTCAATAGCCGCTAAAAACTCGATTTCTTCGTAATCAGTCATTTTTATGACAAAAATAAATAAAATTGACACTTCGTGATTCTATTTCGCGTGGTCTTACCCACTCGTAATTATGTCGATCAAAAAAAGGCGACGGTGACATTCGAGAATTGGATTATGCCAAAAGGTATCGAGATATGCGATTCTCGTACGCGACATTGGGAAATCGTAATTCGAGAATTGGGGGCCAGGTCTTAGTTTTCTTACTGATTCTGACTGTTTTCAACCAAAGACGTCTTTTTCTGACGGAATGTTTTGAAATGTTTTGAAACGTTTCAAAACGCTACATTTGTGCTGCAACAGTGACGTCATATACGGAAA